ATAAATGAAATGAGGAGAAATCAGTAATTGAAATCACTCTTAAGTCACTGAAGTGAATGGATACACAGAGAATTCTAGTCCAGTTTGTTTCCTGCACTCTACCTAAAATCTGACAACCAGATTTATATAGTTTTACCTGTAATAACTTTGTTTTGTATTTGATAGCACATAGTAGCTCTCCTGAAACTGTGATTATTAAACTAAGATTTTTTTTTTTCTCCCTTCCTGCCTCATATAGACTTGCTAATTATAAAGCTCTTGCAGAACACCAAGAACAACAGATAACAAAGCTGAAAGAAGAACTTAGAAGAGCACATCAACAGCATGATGTTACTGGTAAATTCAAAACAAATATAAGGAGCTCTATGTTAAACATTCAGTTTTAAGGTCATATGGTTGAAGTCCAGATTAAGATATAGGCATTTTGCCTCAAAGGGTATAAGAAGGATTGGGTGCATTGGAAGATAAAGCGGAAAGTAAAATGTTAGCTGCACATACAGAATCACAGAATCATTAGGGCTGGAAGAGATCATCTAGTCCAGCCCCCCTGCCAAGGCAGGGCCACCTAGAGCAGGTTACACAGGAGCGCATCCAGGTGGGTTTTGAATGTCTCCAGAGAGGGAGACTCCACAACCTCCTGAGCAGCCTGTTCCAGTGCTCTGTCACCCTCAACATAAGGAAGTTCTATCTCATGTTGAGGTGAAACTTCTTGTGTTTTACTTCATGGCTGTTACTCATCATCCTGTCACTAGGCACCACTGAGAAGAGTATGTCACGATCTTCCTGGCATCGGCCTTTTAGATACTTATATGCATTAATGAGATCCCCTCTCTGTTTAGTCTTTTCTCTATACTAAACAGGTCCCAGCACATTTGCCATTTTTTCCTTGACTTCACATGTGAACAGCTAATTCTAATCATTCTAATCATACATATTTGAAACTATTTTAACTCGAAATGACCCAGTGAATATTCTCTTAATTTTCTCAATATCTCCCTGGCAGTGTGAATAGTGGTGGGGGGTGGAGGAGAGGAGGTGGTGGTTTACAGAAACAAAACAGAACAGAAAACCATTGTAATGGCACTTGTAATTGAGTGTGGTTTTACATGTAACACCATAGGAAGGAACAGACTAAAAAAAAATCTGACTGTCCAAATAATGCATGTATCTGTATAAAACTGTTTCCTAGTGGTGCCAGAAAAAGAAGCTCCTCAGCAATCCCAAATGCCTATTACTTGTGGTGGTGGCAGTGGTATTGTGCAAAGCACACAAATACTTATTCTAAAATCTGAAAGAGTGAAACTACAGAAAGAGAACTCGCACCTGATGAAACAACTTGACATTCTACAAAGGTAAGTATAAAGCTGATCAACAACATGTCAAATTATTTCTTGCTATTTAACTATGTATGCCATCAGCATCTCTTTCTGGGAGGCCTACAGAAGTGAGGAATTACTATAAGATTTTCTAGATACTTTCACATCAAACTTATATTTAAAGGTAGTGAGTTCCTGCTTATGTATCTTTATGGCTTTGACCTTGGTTTTCTGTTTTTTTTTTTAATCTTTTAAATGCTAGAAGATATACTTAAATTGTATGTTGGAAAAATTTTTAGCTTGGGAAATAAATTGCCTCTGAAAGCAAGATGACAGATACGGTGTTGCATTGCTGTGTGTGTGTGGTATGTCATCTGAAAATACAGGAACTGTCTTAGAACCATAGAATCATAGAATAGTTAGGGTTGGAAAGGACCTTAAGTTCCAACCCCCCTGCCATGGGCAGGGACACCTTACACTAAACCATATCACCCAAGGCCTCATCCAACCTGGCCTTGAACACTGCCAGGGATGGAGCATTCACAACCTCCCTGGGCAACCTATTCCAGTGCCTCACCACCCTAACAGGAATGAATTTCCTCCTCATATCCAATCTAAACTTCCCCTGTTTAAGTTTTAATCCGTTACCCCTTGTCCTGTCACTACAGTCCCTAATGAAGAGTCCCTCCCCAGCATCCCTATAGGCCCCCTTCAGATACTGGGACATACTTGTTGGGAGGTTTTTTTTCCTTATATAAAGAACTACTTTAAATTTTTCTTTATTAAATGCTGGGGTGTGTTTTGTTTATATTTTTCAGTAATGAGCTTCAACTGAAAGAGGAAGTTAGAAAATGGAAAGAAAGAGCACTAAAGAAAGAGAAACTCTTGAGAGAAAATGCTCGAGAGATGATGGCGAGTTCCCCAAAGAAGACAGTGTCATATTCCCGTAAAGAGCAAATGCCTTCACCTGCCAAGGAACCCGTTTCTCAGGAGGCTGTGACTCCGGATGCAGTGAAGACTCTGCCACCGACTTCTGCAACAAATTTCTTTGATAATTCCAGCTTGGGTACACTTACAGGTGTGTGACACAGTGATAGTGTGCTGTAAAGGTTTGGAGAGATAAAACATAAGGGGTGGTCTGTGAGATGAGGGTGGTAAATACTCCATACTTCGTATATTCTGACCTGAAGTTTGCATGGCAACACAGTTTTCCTGAGTGGTTAGCTGACAATTGTAGGGCTGACCAGCTGGAGCCATGAAGCTTATATATGTTCTACAGAACCTAAATACTTAAATGAACTCTTCACCCCATGAACATTATACAGTCTTTTTTCTTTTGCGAAACTTTTGTTTCTTTTGGTTTTCTTTACTTTTGTTGGAAGTTTTTATGACTGACTTTTTAATTAGCAGAATATCATTACATCATACACATATAATTACACATAGTGTTGTGAATGCTCCATCCCTGGTGGTGTTCAAGGCCAGGCTGGACAGAGCCTTGGGTGACATGGTTTATGCAAGGTGTCCCTGCCCATGGCAGGGGGGTTGGAACTAGATGGATCTTAAGGTCCTTTCCAATCCTAACTATTCTATGATTCTATGATTCTGTTCTATGATTAGCAGATAGCTGATGTTCTACACTGTTTTGCTTTTTAACTTTACATTGGTTAAACACAGACTTCTGGCAAAACTGTTTGAAGTTACCTGCTGGTTAATGTTTTTCTTCAAGATCATAGACTCCAGTCTCTGTTGCATCTGTCTGCCTGGCTTCAACTGCAGTAGTAGCTGTCCTGATAACTTCTGTTCCTCAGCCCTGGTCAAGATTTCTTACATCTGAGGAAGTCTCCTAGTGCTCTAAATTAGCATATTAATGCTACTGCCCTCATCACTGCGCTTGATTTTAAAAACCTCTAGCAGACATGTTGGAAAGTTAACCAGTTTTCCAGGTATTAATGGCAGACTTCCAGAAAGAATATAATCCATTGCAGGTCCTTGTGGTACTGTTACCAAGATCCTCAGAGGCAAGCTTTGATAGAGGACATTTGAAACACTGGTCAGGATTGAATTGCTGTATTCCTACTGCTTGTCTAACTGGGAATGTTTAGATGTTACTTTAACATTCTTGTCTTCTGTTATAGGTACACAGCCTGCGGGGAAAGAGCCCCCAGAAGAACATCTTAAACACTGGTTGGGAACTTCAGAGAAAGAAAAAGCCCCTGATTGTATTGCTCAATAAAGGTGTTTTGTTTTAAGCTGGCTTTACTGTCACTACAGCCACAACCTGCATATATGAATTACTTAAGATCAAAAGCAATCAGCCTCTCAAATTGTGAGAAAAGCACTGGCATGCAGATCCCTTGCTATCTTGGAGTTGCTACAATTGGAAAATCAGTCTTGTTGCCCACAAACTACTGATCTGATTATGTTCTGCTTTGGTGGCTTGTTTCTTTCCTGGATGGCAAAGAAAGAAAAGCTAATGTATTAAAGAAAAGGAAATGGGAATGGAACATTAATCTACTGTGAAACTTCTCAGTCATAAATTAAATTCTGTCATTCCTAAACCAGCCCTCTTCTGGGTGGGCAATACTTGTGTCTTCAGAGTGCTGTTGAGTTGGAAAGAACTATGCTTTTTGTTTCTCAGCATGTGGTTTTTATAACATGCTTTCTCTCAGTCCACAGAAACGGCATTTTCACCACAAATTTAACCTATCTGGACATTGCAACTGAACTCACTAATTTTCTGTTTATAGGGTACAATCAAGGGTTCCTTTTAAACACCTTACAGTATTTCTAAGCTCAGCTAGTTATGGTACCAAGAATAACTTTGTACTTGGCATCTTTCAAAATACTTCTAGTGCCCGTCTGAAGTTGCTATTGGAATTTTTCTTAATAGTAAGCAGTGGACCTGACACTTCTTTGCTACTCTAGTGAATTGAAAATAAACTGAATGGTGATCAGGGCTGCAAGACACTATTTTAATAGCCTGCTTATCTGCATTGTGAGACCTACTTTTTGTATGTTTTGTATAATAACATTTGTTTTGACAATAAAATGCTAAGTATTTAAAAACATATTTGTTCACTTTTGCTATGATCTAAGGGTGTTTGATTACAATATTCAGTATCTAAGAACTCTCTTTTTATAGTAATCACATCACTTCCATCATTATCTTGCTTCTTGTCTTGTGTCATCTCACTTTCTGCAATAATTACTTTGTGTGGAAGTTTACTGTTGGTGTTTAGTTTAATTTTTGGAGTCTGTCAGGAAATTTTTGGGATCTAGAAGTTCTTCCTCCCATGCCCTGCACTGCCAACTAAATAGGAATTTGGCACTCAAACCCAAAGATCAACTCTTTAAGAACAAAATAATCATCATGATACAAGAGTCATACTTAGGGAAGATAAATATATCAAAATCATAATCCTTATTTTATATGAATAAAGCTTTTGCTGCAAGTGTGTAAGTACTGTTTTGGGTTACCCAAACTGATAAGCAAATGGTCTGTGGCCTGTTCTGGAGGGAATCCTGTGGATTTGTTGAATTCCTTAAGGAGAATGGATGGTGAACGCTGGTGCTCCTTTTTTAGTGTGTTTTTTTCTGCAGGAATAAAACCACAGCATTCAGTCTCGAGTTTCGGTAGGTGGCGGCATCTCAACGTTTCAACAGGAAATTACGTTCTAGAGAAATTCACCGCTTACACTACAACTCCCAATAAGCACAGCAGAAAAGATACTGTACTTCATTTTGTACAAAGGTCAGCAAATATAACACGCTGATTGCGCTCGCTTGGTGAGTGACTGTATTAACATTTAGCTTTAAATGCCTCATAGAATCAACAAATGTTCATAAAAAGTGATTGATTGAAAAATGTATTTCTTGTCCTTGCTTGTTTGAAAAATATTGTGCTTGTTTGTGAGGCTGAAAAATGTATCTGTAGTGTATTGTGCTTACAAAGTGTTAAGGTGATTTACAGAAGTACTTGAACTGATCAGTTTTTGTTGTCTGTTTTCTGCTGAAAAGAGACATGTGACAGAAAAGACCCCCAAAAGCTTCCTCTGCCTTCAGGGAGCTTTTAAGACTTGGGTAGCAGGGGGGAGGAAATAGTGCAGTGGTTTCTGTGAGAAGCATCTAGAAGTTTCCCAGGTGTCCGACAGAGCTAATGCCAGCCAGATCCGAGACTGACCAGCTGCTGGCCAGGGCTGAGCCCATCAGTGACGGCAGTAGCATCTCTAGGATAATGTGTTTAAAAAGTGGGGAAAAGTTGTTGCACAGGAGCAATTTCAGCCAGAGAGAGGAGTGGAAGGAACAGCTCTGCAAACACCCAGGTCAGTGCAGAAGGAGGGGAAGGTACTCCAGGTGCTGGAGCAGAGGCTCCACTGCAGCCCATGGTGGAGCAGATAGCCGCCTGCAGCCTGGGGAGGACCCCATGCCAGAGCAGGGGGGTGCCCAAAAGAGGCTGTGACCCCATGGGAAGCCTGTGCTGGAGCACAGTCCTGACAGTAACTGTGGCTCATGGAGAGAAGAGCCCATGCTGGAGCAGGTTTGCTGCAGGACTGGTGCCCCTACAGGGGACCCACACTTTGAGGAGTCCATTAAGAAGGACTGCACCCATGTAAGGGACACATGCTGCAGCAGTTTCTGAACTGCAGCCTGTGGGAAGGACTCGTGTTGGAGAATTTGGTTGGTCTTGATACATAAACTGTAACTGACTTAAAACCGTTAAATCTTCTGATTCATATATTAGAATAGAAAGAATTTCTCTATTCAGTTTCTTCAGAAGTCTGATTTGTTGAATCTGTAACCTTCAGGGGAACACTGGTTTTGCTGCAGCTTTTGCAGGGAAAAGCTGCTGATGAGAAAATAGACAGGATTTCTGGGCAAAATCAGATAAATTAATAATTTGGTTTAAGATACAGGACACTGAATTTGTCTTTGCAGTCTGAGCCACAGCTTGGACTTGAGTATCTCTAGATGACAGCATTGTCTGCTAATTCAGGGGAGATTATTTTAACTTCTCAGTGAAGTACCTGGTATGTTGGTTTCATGTATATTTTTTAAGACTTAAGGTTCTTGGGATGCCTTTCTACATTCATAGCTACATAAACAAATTTTGCTCTGTGGGTTAAAAGTGCAGAAAGTTTTGCTTATTGATAACCCAGTTAACAAATACCAGATACTGCACTCTGACTGAAACGCAGTGGCTTCACTCTGAAACATCCTGTTCAGTAGTTTGTCCCTTACATAACAGAAAATCCACAGGAGGGAGGGGATTGCATTTGCTTTTTAGTTATTTGTCTGCAACCGTACATGCTGTTTTTCTCTAAACATGCCACAACATTTCAAAGTGTGTCCTTGGGCAGAAGATAGGAGGGCGGCATTTTGCCTTTCGGCTGCTACACACTGAGTAAGGTGGAACATCCCAGAGGTTCCTTATTGCTTGTCCTAAGCATGCTCAGTAGTCATCTGAGAGCAAGGAAGGTGAGAAGGGCAAGAGAGGACAGAGGTTTATTATTCTCCCCTCCCCTCTGCCTTGTTGTAGCTGGGAATTTGCAGTGCTGGAAGTTTCCTGAGACTATTCAGAGCCAACACCAAGGCCCAAGGTATTGTGTGGAATTTATTGCAATCTAGGAAGTTGATGAGCTTAAGAGGAAGAGAAGGCAGACCTGCTTTCTAAGAACAGAATAGACAATGGAAACACAACATTATGAACTGCTGTGCTTCTGTTTCATCTTAACTTTTTTTTTTTTCTGTTTAAGGCAAAACAAAGTCTGGCTTCTGCTATAAAAAAGCTTGGCTTTTGAGCTCAGATACCTTATGTTTGTTTGTTTTTTTAGCTTCTTACTATGTTAAAAAACTAAACCAAAACATATATTGAGGCAGCCTCCCCTCAGCACCCTTGGTGACTCAAGGTCACACTGCAGCAAAACAGGACAGTCTGTGGAGTGATTTGATGTCAGAGGTACTCAGAATAATGCCTAGTTTTTGGAAAGCATTTGCATCTGATTCCCAGGAATGTTGTTGGTTCATCTTTTTGTTAAAGATTCTGTGACATCTGTCTGCACAGATCAGCAGCATGGGTCGGCTTGATGGGAAGGTCATACTGCTGTCAGCAGCAGCACAGGGGATTGGACGAGCAGCTGCTATAGTAAGTGGGAAAATGTTTGTTCTCCTGTACCTAAGCTAGGTCTCTAAAGCTAGCTTGTCCAGAGACAGCCACACTAAGCAAGTTCTTGAATTCATAAACTGTAGATGAAGCCAGAACTATTCATTGAAAAAAACAGGGAATAATAGAGTCATTGTACTGCATGCATTGTGCTGTTTGAATTTCTGAAAGTCTGAGGCTCCAAGTGGTGACATCAGGCAAGGATAAGGGCAAGATTCAAGAACAGCTGCAACTGCTCTTTTAACAATACACATCTGGTACTGTCTGTACCTTTAGTCCTATATCTCTGCTGCTTTGCTCTGGAAGAAGATAAGGATAGAAGGAATATTTCCTGTTATACCCTGTAGTAAAACAATGATATTTTATTTACGTTAATCATTGACATAACTCTTACATGATGCTGACTGCACAGCTACAGTGTTGTTCACCATGAGCAACTGTGAGAAATAATTTAGAATCAATTACTTGAACAGAATTCAACATACATATTAACTTTCTGGCTACCTTTTAATTCCTTTTGACCAGTTCTTCCCCTGTGTCGTGGTTTAAACCCAGCCAGACAGCTTGTTCACTCACTTCCCCCCCTTCTTTCCCTCCCCCTACTCCCAGAGGGACAGAGAGGAGAATCAAAAGAATGCAACTCCCACAGGTTGAGATAAGAGCAGTTTAGTAACTAAGGTGTAACACAAATCACTGCTGCTACCACCAATAATAATAATGATAAAGGAAATAAGGGAAGAGAATACAACACCTCACCACCAGCCAACCGATAACTGTTCCCAGGCTGGAAGTCAAAACATAGCACTGCACCAGCTACCAAGAAGGAGAAAAATGACTGCTACTGCTGAACCCAGGACACCCTCCCATTTCATTCTTCCATAGCAGATAGAGAAGCTAGTGAGGTTATCTCAGTATCTCTGTATTGTAATCAACAAGCTGGGAAAAGCTCCTGTAAGAAGGATTTCTGCCAATCCTAGTTAGTTTCATATGCATGCAGTTAAGAATGCAGGAGACTGCTAATCTTGGCACTTCCATTAAAACACTTAGTCCAAAGGAGCAGATAATTGTAAATTTGTAAATACCCAACAAGCATGGAGGGAAGACCATTTTTGTTAAATGCCACTGTCCTTTTAAGCTGCACTTGAGACGCTTATTTTGAAGATTAGGAGCTACAGTCTGAGATGTCAGAATAACTTTGACACAGAGGTTATTTTGTTAGCATAGCTGTTGATTTATCAGTAATCACAGTGCAGAGAAAGCAGGCTTTGAGGGGCGCATCAAGAATGAGAAAGTATCTCCTGTTAAGTGCCAAAGAAAGTCATGTTTGTTTTAATATTGCTCTATTCCTACGGTTTGGTTGCAAAGTATTGTCATAAAGGTTCTATTTCTCTTTATGACTTGTGCCTTTATCTGTCAAATCCCATTTAAATCAAACAGGACAGACAATTCTAGCACTACCTGTTTGTAACAGGCTTACTAGTGTTCGTGCAGCTAATAAGGGTAATAATAGTACCAGTTGTCTTAGTCTGGTTACTGTTATTATACTGTATTTATGGATTCCATAGTTTAAGGAAAAGATGTTAACTCTTGTCCTGTATCACATACAGTTACTTAGTTGTCCCCAAGATGCATGGTAGTTGAAGCCCATTACTCCCTGACATGCACTAAATGAAAAGTGAGAGATCAACTGCCTTCAGCCAACTTTGATTCAAGCCAAAAAGGAAAGGAGGAGGAAACAGAACTTATTTATGGTAAGATCTGGAATATCTAAATATAAACTGCTTCTCTTGTATTCTTCAGGCTTTTGCAAAAGAAGGAGCCAAAGTCATTGCTACAGATATCAATGAGCCTAAGCTGCAAGAGCTGGAGAAATATCCAGGTAAATGACCTACAGTAGTTGTTGGTTCAGCTTTTGCAAGTTTTGGTGTAGAATGGCTGAAATCTAACTTGAAGATAGTGCAAACTTCAAAAAACCAGAAAAGAAATAAAAGGAAAATATCCAGACTAATTCTTTAGGTGTTGGCATTGCTTTATTCTGTGATGTGGAATGGCAGAGATTCAGCATGTTAACCTACTGCAAAATCAGCAAATCAGACAGAGTATTATTCAAGGCATGCAAAATAACTTGAGTTTTTTGTGTCACAGAAGCAGCTCATTTCTGCTTCCCAGAGTGGCACCTGTTTCAGTTATCTTTTGAGATCACCAAGCTAATTGTCAAACACAGCACTCTAAGAGGCACAGAATGCTTTTCACTCATCGCAACAGCTAACATCCCAGCTATACAGAAAGTAAATTTAGTGTCTTGCATTTCCATGGCACTTAGTTACAAAGGAATGCGTTAAGAGGATAGCTGCCTAGTAGAGCTTACTAAGTCTTCAGAAACTAACCCCGCAACACTAGATAAGCATGTTCTGTTTGCACAAATGTTCAGGCCTGAAGATGACTTTCCTACTGATGTCACAGAAACATACTGCAAGGAGCAGTTTTGCATAGTTGTTTCTTAATCATAAGTGACCCAAGTGTGCACCATCATATAAAAATAATTTTTCAGTCTTGAAATAAAAAGTAAGATGTATTTTACAACTGAAAATTCTTCCAACTTAATCTGATGGAATGAATTGGATTTAAGGAATTCCTGTTATAGGGCGACAGTCAAATATGCAAAAGCACTTTTCTCTAGCACAGCTTTTAAAGTGAACATTGGTCTCTGTTGACTTGACTGGAGTTCACCACAAGCAATCCCTTTGTAACTCTTTGGGAACTTTAGGACTTTTCCAGCTTTATTCTGTGGGTGTTTAGAAAAGTGTGAAGTTTTCAACTGTGTGGGTTTTTTCCTTCTGCTGCGGTGGTCACAAGAGGTAGTTTTCCATATACTCAGAGACATTTCCATCCTTTTGACATACAATTAGTTAAGCTGTAATTCATCAAGGCTTGGCACATTGTGGTCTTTGAATTTCATCCAGGAGAAGTAATTCCAGTGCTGATGTAAATCATCAGCCTGTAGTCTTAATTGCATCGTTATACACAAATCTCTTCAAAAGTGTCTGTATCATTTAATTAAGGCATATAAAACCTGTTCAAGGACTTGTCAGTTTGGCTTCAAAAGAAAGAGGGTTTTATCAATTTCAGATCAAATTCTCCCATAATTTAGATATCACTCAGATGCTTTACAAACAGCTTTACAGTATGTCTAGAATCAGATATGCTGGATGAGACCTCTGGAGGCCATAAACATCTTGCCTGCACTGTCCTTACAGTCCTGCCTATTGCTCAAAGTAGCTGTGGTTAGAGCAGGTTGCTCAGGGCTGTGTTGAGTCAAATTCTGAATATCTCCAAGGATGGAATTTCGTCAACAACCTCTGCAGGCCCCTGTTCTGGTGCAACTGCCCTCATGGTTTTAAAATAATAATGGTATTTAAAAACACACAGAGAGGTCCACAGCAGAAAGATGAAAGTCAACAGAAAGAAGTTGGAACATGGGGAAGTCTGACTGAATATAAGGTGTTTGGTTGTTGTGGATTTTGGTGGTGGTGTTTGTTCGGAGGTTTTTTCATGTGTGTTTTTAAATACATGGACATGGAAGTTTGTTATGATTATACAGATTCTGTAATTGTTCAGTTTGAGGGTATAGTGGAATTCAAGCTTATTGGAAATGTTTTTATGGTAAATGATGTTAGCTCGTCTGCTTGTGTGATGCTGTTACAACAAATTGAACCAGCTGATCTTTGTTTATTTCCCTTTGGAAATTTTAGGAAGCATGACCTGCTGTCCCGATTTAACCACTGCACTAACCTAATGATTAAATGTAGTTCTCGGTCACTGAGTCTCCACGTTGTGGTGTACCACTGAGGGGGACTGCAACCTGTCAAGCCACTGCCTTAAATTGTAGGTGCAATCCTCAGCAGTTCAGAAAAATAAACCAATGATCCTTAGTCAAGTACAGTGAAGCAAATACCATGTTTTTCTAGGCATTCAAATACGTGTTCTGGATGTCACCAAAAAGGAGCAGATAGAAAATCTGGCCAAGGAGATTGAAAAGATTGACGTTCTCTGTAACATTGCAGGGTAACAAGCTTCTATTTGATCCTACATTTTTTTCCAATTTTCTCTGTCTTCCACAAGTACTTCCTTTTACTTAAATGCATTTTATTTCTTTTGCTTTAGTTCACTTTATGCCTTTAAGACAAACTTTCATGTGTTTTCATCAAACCTGAATTTCTCATGTGTAGCCACGTTACCTAGGCCAAGACAGAATGGCTCTTGGATTTGTTGTGTTTTCCACACTCTGTGGGTGCCCAGCACTGATGGCTTTGGCCCTCCTAGCACAACGGTGAGCAAAGCTGAGGGTCTGCTAGTGCTCTGCTTTTCTTTGGTTTTGTTTAGTCCTTACTGCCAAGCATTTCTTTGCACATACTGCGTCTGCCTTGTGTCCCTGATACTCATCAGAAATACACCATTGCTTGCTTTCTTTGAAAGAGCTCTAGTCCCTCCTTTTCAGGGTTGGAAGAGTTATCTAGTGCAAAATCATATGGGAAAATGTGCATTAAAAGGCACAAAAGTGTAAACCACAGACTAATCCAGTTCATGCACTTATTCTAGGTTTGTTCATCATGGAACCATTCTGGACTGTGAGGATCAAGACTGGAACTTCACTATGAACCTCAATGTTCGCAGCATGTATCTAATGATCAAGACATTCCTTCCAAAGGTAAGGATTGCTTGCCTGTGATTTTTTAGTCTCTGCTGCACTGTGTTTAAAGTGTGACAGGTCTAAATTGTTGCCACTGTGACAGCACAGGATTTGAGATAAATATGCTAGTATGCAGCTTCTAAAACATTCTCTGCATTGTATAATTCTTCAAGCGGACAACCTGTCTAAAAGATGTGGTAGAGATGATACATTCAGGGGCTTGCGTTATGTAATATGTAACTAAAATCCTTCAAATGCAGAGCTGCAAGGGAGCCATTGCAATACAGTGCTACCACATTCTACTATAGCACACAGCTGCACACAGTAATTGTAAATAATGTATAGTAACATGAATTTTATGGAACTCTGGAAACTATCTTGTGAAGCGATTCAGTGCCACTGATGGCAACATGCTGGTTATATCAGAACAGTGTAGCAGCATGAGGACGCTTGCTGACATAGTAACTGGGTTTAGGACTACAGAAACTTGTGAACTGAATAAGGAGTTTATATTCCTGTAAATGCAAAGGCCAGATGTGGAAGCTGTGACCATGACTGGATGGTGATTACTCTTTTCAATCTTGTTCCAGTCTTTTTTGTTTGGTTTGGTTTTTGGTTTGTTGTTTTATAGGGGTTTTTAAGCTGATATCTATTTTCAGGTTTCTTATATAACAGCTTTAGGCACCTTGGGTTTGGAATGCCTAAAAAGGTTATAACTTGAAGAAATCTAGCTACAAATCAAAGATGCTAGAGTTGTGATTTAGTCTTCTGCAAAGCTAGCATTTGAATGGGATCTGTGAGTAACTGCCTTGGTAGATGGCATAAGCAGAGTTACTACATAGTATAGCTTACTGTGGTGACAAAAGGGCAATGATTCCAAGGTGCCTATCACAGGAAAAAAGTTCTTTCCTGTCATAGTCTTCACTCCTGAGATGACTCAGAAGAACTTAGTGAGAACTTCAGATTCTGCTTTACTACTTCAGTCAGTAGATGAAAAGAGATAAGCACCCATTTGTGCTGATTAAGCTTTGCTACCCTGTGTATCCATTGCATGTAGGACTGTTCTGTGGATTATTATGGGCTATTGTGCTGGATCTGCAGATGACAGAACAGTCTGCATTTGAATGACTTTTGTATTCTCTTGCAGATGCTCAAACAGAAATCTGGAAATATTATAAATATGTCTTCTGTGGCATCCAGCATTAAAGGTCAGTACCTTGCTAGAGTTCCTTACATAAATTTCAGAAATCATGGGACTGCAAAATAAACCTTGCACAACTTTGAAATGAGAGGGCACTGCCAATCCTGAGGAGGGATACAGTTCAAGAAAAAAGAAAGAGCACACATCAACTCATGTACACACAAGGACACGGGTGGCAAATTGCAGAAATACTAAGATGCTTGCCTCTGAGTTTATGAATCTGTACTGAATGTTTCATAGTATCCTTTCTACCAGTTTGTATTAAATAAAAATGAACTGCTTCCAGTGATACCTTGCTACGTATGTGCTTCAGAGAAACAATGAAGAAATGACAATTACATCAGCACTGTAGCTATGCTTCCCAAAGAAGCCTGATGGTGACTAACAGATGGGTCTCTGCTGTTCCCAAATCTTTGTTGGCTTTTCTGACTACTCCCCAAACTTACACTACTGAAAGGTCTTTGCTCTCGTGTGCCTGCGTAGAATTCTGGCAGTCAGCATTTTTGTTAGCCTGTCCTTACAGAGGGACTACAGGTGCTACAGGAAATGCTGGGGCCCAGCAGCAGGTGCATATTGAACAAACTTGGTTCTCTTTTTTTTTTTTTTTTAACATGTTTCTACACTGCCTTCACACTGACCTTCTGTTAGGAGTTGTGAACAGATGTGTATATAGTACTTCAAAGGCAGCAGTTATTGGTCTAACAAAGTCTGTGGCTGCTGATTTCATTGAACAAGGCATCAGATGCAACTGCGTATGTCCTGGTAAGTGTTCATACACTATTTTGTAAAGTGGGTTGTAAAGTGGGAGCAGATTCTAGAAGGCCCAATTTACTTTGACATTATTAACAAAGAATAAATTTGCAAGTGGCAACTAAAGTTACCAACAACATAAAGGTACAGGACCTGCTTGGAACATTTGAGATTTAAAATACAGAACTTGTTACTTTTGTAGTTAAGCTGTATGTTTAGTCTGTTAACCCAGCACATACACATTATATATGCACTGCATACTATTTGAATGTTTATTTTCAAATATACACTCTAGGAAGACAGGAACAGGCAAGGGCTACTAACAGGCTAGCCGTGGTTTAACCATCTGAAAAGTACTGAATCCGATTCTCAAAGTCCTGACTTCTCTCGAAATTTAGAATCCTATGCCACATTTATAGTTTTGCAGTCCTGAATTGTATTACAAGTTACATGTAAGTGTTAAGACATACAGATAGAATCATGGAATAGTTAGGGTTGGAAAGGACCTTAAGGTCCCAAATCCCTGCCATGGGCAGGGATGCTAACACTAGACCATGTTGCCCAAGGCTCTGTCCAGACTGGCCTTGAACGCTGCCAGGAATGGAGCATTCACCACTTCTTTGGGCAACCTGTTCCAGCACCTCGCCACCCTCACAGTAAAGAACTTCTTCCTTGTATCTAACCTGAACTTCCCCTGTTGAAGTTTAAACCCATTGCCCCTTGTCTATCACTACAGTCCCTGAAGAAGGGTCCCTCTCTGGCACCCCTGTAGGCCCCCTTCAGATATTGGAAGGCTGCCATGAGGTCTCCATGCAGCCTTCTCCAGGCTGAACAGCCCCAACTTTCTCAGCCTGTCTTAATATGGGAGGTGCTCCAGCCTCCGATCATCCTTATGGCCAGTTGGCTGGATAGATCCTATGGCCAACTGGTTCTCGATAGAACCACTGAACAGCATTTTTTGTCATGATTGCTGATGAAGGTGATTTTTAACACTGAATTTAAAATTTTGCATAGGAACTGTTGACACTCCATCTTTACAGGAAAGAATCCAAGCCCGGCCTAACCCAGAACAGGTGTGTACGTACATTTCACTCCCTTTAAATATACATACATAGTGGCACTTTGCCCATTTTCAGGAATGTCCCCTATTTCAGATATCAATGATAACATAGCAGCAGTGTCTCCTTTGATAGTTTGGTCAGTTTGTACTCAAGACAGAAGTCTTAATGTGTTAGAAGGTTACTATTGCTTAGTGAATACAGAGGGTCTGTCATCTATGGAAGCATCTGCAACCATTGGTTACAGCATCTGTTGCAAAGGTAGAAGATATTTTCTACTGGGGCATGTGGCAGCCACAGACTACTGCAAAACCATAATAGAAAGGGCATCCTGGCTATGCATGTCAAAATTGTTTGGAATGCTTACCCATACTGACTAGATAACTGTGAGCCCTCATTTGAAAGGTCTGGGAGTACCTACCATCAAAGGGAGAACTGACTTACACTGGCTTTACTCTGGAACCAGAGATTCAGGTCCAGTCTCCTACTGTTTTTAAATCTGAAATTCATACCAGTGTTAATGTTTAATTTCTTTGTCTAGCATAAATTCCCTACTCAGTGTACTAAAAGAATGTGTGTCTTACGGCTTATTCCAGTATTGCTTTATACATGTCAGATTAAAATAATTGGTTTTCATTTTTGATATACCAAATGCTCCTGTGTATATAGGCATTGAAAGACTTTCTAGCCAGACAGAGGACTGGTAGGATGGCTACTGCTGAAGAAGTGGCCCATCTCTTTGTGTACTTGGCCTCTGATGAAGTAAGTATGAACAATAAAATTTCCTTGTCACAGAATCCTGTGCTACTTTGCTGTTTCACAATAGAGAGAAGTTGCTTTAGGAGGATTTACATTGTCTTTAAGATGGATTATTAAAAAAAAAAAAGAAATAAAAAAAAACCAAACAAAAACAAAAGCCCACAATATTTTACTGAGTTCAACCTGTAATGCAAGAAGTACTCTAAACGTTGACAGTGATTGATACGGCATTAGGTGTTTCTTACTGTAGGCTGGTGGTTTGATATCATCCAAGCAAATTGACTGACCCCAGATCATCCTGAATGGTACGAGAAATAGGTTTGTCTTCTTTTCCACATTTGTACCAAGGCTAGATCATGTTTTAAGGAGGTAGAATTAGTAATCATCACTTACCTTCACTATTCAAGAGCAAATTCAAATTCACTATTCAAAGAGCATTGAACTGCTGGCCATTTTAGCTCAAAGGGCTAATGCTCAGAGTGAATTTACCCTTTCAGCATAAGAAAAACCACAGACTCACTGAGGTTGTTATACACCAAACTCTTAATGACCACTGCAAGTGCTACCAATATTAATGAGCATGTATCAAGGTAATTTTGGGTGCTATAAATTTACTGTGAATCTAAAACTGGGCTGGATTCATCTGGGCTTGTCCAGCAGTCCCACTGAGCATTAACAGAATATTTTAATGGAATTAACGCTGTCTTAATGTTGCTATCTCTCAGTAATCTGTTTCCCATTTTCATCTTGGTTTTATTGTTCCTGTAAAGCTACTAATTTTTTTGAGTCTGGTCATAGGGTTTTCAACCATATGTAGACAGAATTCCAGTTTTCCAGTATATTCAGTATGCTTCAGTACTGACATACAGAAGAATACCAACAGCTTAGTTGCTTACCTCACAATCTGCCTGAATCAACTTTTCAGTTAGGTGTCCTTGTAATTATTGGCTGACCTGATCAGATTCTGCCAAGCTAAAGAGCTAATAACATCATAGTGTGATGTATTATTCCTGCAGGTAAGAAATCTATAGTCTAGTTCATGTGAATATTGCTTCTAATAATATTTTTGATGCACTCCCCCGAGTTAGCCAAAAGGCTTCCATTTCTAAGTGTGTTTGTATTCTATTTGTTCAGGTATTTTTGTAAAACAAAACAAAAAATGCTTGTATAAAAAGAATGCCAGGGTGGTTGTTTTTTGGTTGTTTTTTTTTTTTCTTAAAGGAAAAAGAGTTTTCCCGTAATTAATAGCCATAAAAAATTGGTTACAATTGTTATTTGTTATGTAATTTCAGTCTGCCTATGTGACCGGTAATGAACTAATCATTGATGGAGGATGGAGCTTGTGATTGACCCTGCTTGCAAATGGAAATTCATACCATGAAAGGCAAAAAGTGAGGATTGTGTTTCTCGGATAAGGTAGCTGGCAGAGATTTAGATCACCCATATGATGTCCTTCAAAACAAATTTGGTACATTTTTACTGTTAGATGTTCTCCTTCTAGGTTGGTCTTACTGATTAACTTTTCCCTAAATAGTGAAATACTGGAGTAAGACATACTTCATGTGGCTTCAATTTCTGGTAACTCCAAGAACATGAGAGAATAGCAATTTAACATGTAAGATTTCAGAAGGCAAAGAATATTATTAAAGGTACAAAATCTGAATTGTGCTTTAAGCAAATCTGAGCAAAAGTAATTAAATATTACCTTTATTATCATCCTCCAAAGTATCTGGAAGCTAAACATTCACAATTAGATTTCCTACTAGCATTGACAGACTGTCCCGAGAAAATGGAACAACTAGTATTAAATCATCTAAATGGATCCTGATCCTGAACTAAGTGTGGTTTAAACAGAAAAAGCAGATATAATAGCAAATTTGAAGATATGATCATTTGAATAATTTTGTTACTGGTAATAAATGTTTCTGTATTAGAGAACATACTAATTGCAAATTTCATTTGAAAGCAGATTCTGCCTTGCAAATTACAAAGTAAGTTCTTTCTGCTCTGTACTATCATTAGCAAAATGGTTTAGAACTGTAATAGCTGTAGAAAAGCACTCTGAATTGTTGAAAAGAATATCTAATGCCTGAGAACACTTACAGATCCAAAGTGGGCAGTGCAAGACAGTCAAACACTGTAGATATGTGGTGTATGGGTGCATGAAACTTCCCGTGTAGACAGCAGAGGGTCACTGTACATGCACAGCTGTGCAACTGCTGTATCCATTTCCCAGATCCTAGGCAAGTTAGATTTTTGAAATCTGGAAAAGCAGTAGCACAAAAAGCAGGATTGGCCCCTTTGTGAAGTTTGGGAGGGATTTTTTTAAGCACATAACTACTTCATGAAGACCATGCTGTTTTCTTGAAGTAGAAATGATGGAGAGGAGCCTGCTCTAAAGCTTAAGACTAAAGCTTGCAAAATGTAGAAAGCATTAAAATCATAATGCAGTTCTACAGTCACTTAGAAAGCACATTAACTAGTAAAGAAGAGGTCTTAGTGGGAGAAATGGAGATCAGAACTGTTTCATTAATGGTATAGATCTCTCCTAAATTGGTCTTGGAAGTATCATTACTATATTTTGTTTGGTTTTTTTATCCTTCCATGTACAAAAAGTACTATGCAAGGACATCACTCTAGTAGGCATGGATAGGGCTATGTGTGTGAGAATTGTGCTTACACAGGTGGATCTCCATCAATATGCTTAGACTTCTGGCACACAAGCAAAAGGAGTAGATTTTACAACTCTAGATAGAGCAGATATATTCCTCTTCAAAAAGATGTATTGATATTGGACAAATGTTTTCAAATCCTTATGCTAGGTGCTAGGCTTTGTATTCTATTGCTTGATTGTCAAATATCAGTATAGTTCATGGTAAAACACAAGGCTGTTTCTCTGAAAAGCACTGTTTCTACAAGAATGTGTGTGTTGTGATAGCACATGGTAGCTTTGATTTATGAATCAGAAACCTATTAACAGAAAGTCTCATACTCTGGGGAAAAAGCCATAAATCCTGACCCAGAGATCTAAGGCACTTGATAACCTGAATTCCAAAACTATTTGTTTTGCTAACATACTATTAAAATGGACATGAATGACATAGGCTGGCTGTCTATAAATAAGGTTACCTTAACAGAAATTGGATGCAGCCCCATTTATCTAGTTTGTGAATGAATCTGTATGTAATTTCATATATATTCATATATTTTAAATACATATATGTGTGGCGGAGGAATTAAAGAATAAACGTACTGAGTGTGATTAATCAGTAATCAGAAAGCACTGGGCGAAACGTTCAGTATTTTGTGCGTGTTTCTGTAACAACTGCCATGTTTTTAAAATTATTAAGATTTTCAGTATTAACTGAAACATTAATAAAAATTATTTGATTTCAAAGATGATGGAACATGTCTAGCTAAAATCAGACTTCTTATTTTAGTATCTTAAGTAAATGTAACATTTACAAATGAGACAGTATTGTGGATGTTGGCTTCCTAAGGTTCATTTTTGGCTTAACTTTCACCCTTAATCGTGGTTGGAAGCATTCTGATCTTGTGTAGTTTGTTTAGGGGGGTTTTGAGTACCCGGTATTTCAAAAAAAGACCCTGCCAGCCAAGGAAGATTGAGCTGAGGCAGAAATCCAAAGTTATCCTAACTGGTTCCACTAATGTTCACTGACATAAATTCAAATGTTAAGTTCAGGCTGGCAGGATACCATTTTAATGGTTTTGGGGTTTTATATGAAGGCCAAAGTTCCTCCTCTATAGTAGGTGTTTTCAGACTTACCTTGAAAAGAGAATCCTCCCACTGCAGTAACACGGGAAACTTGCATTGTGTATTCTGAAAATATAATTAAGAATTTCAGAGAAAATGCATTATACTTGTTGCATATTGAACTTTATTAACATTTCTAAGTTCACTGGCGACTGTAACACACAGATGCTACTCAGGAAATGCTGCTTTTGTCAAAGAATTCCTTCAATAAAAGGAGATGCCATTTGCTTTTTATGTTGCACTAAAAGCACAGGGATACGGATTTTCGGTGGTAGTGGAGAAGCTGGTGGACCAGGAAAAAGAAAGAAAATGGGCGGAGATTGCTGTCATTTGCCTTACTAGGAAAGTTCTTCATGGATGTATTAACAGCTACAACGCTGAAATGCGTCCAGCAGACTTGCTGGAATTATTAAAGGAGAAGGCTTCTTGATGCTCTTGTGACCTCTTAATTCCGTGGTCTGTTTTAATGCAAATGGGTAATTATTTTTTTTCCTTCCACTCCAGTGATAATAGAGGAATTTTTTTACTTTTCAGATTGTAGGTCTTTTGGGAGGGGTGAGGGGGGAAGAGACTTCCCTGATTCAGAGTCCATTTTAACATTTTAACTGATCAAAACCCAGTGCTTCTTTCTCTCAGTGGACTTCACTCTGTGTAATACTACTAGGAGCAAAATAGCAGCATGTTGCGTTTGAATCTCCTTTCATATAAACCACAGAATGTTTTGGGTTGGAAGGGACCTTAAAGCTCATCCAGTTCCAACACCCATCTGCCATGGGCAGGGACACCTTTCATTAGATCAAGTTGTGCAAAGCCCCATCCAACCTGGCCTTAAACACTGCCAGGGCTGGTGCAGCCACAGCTTCTCTGGGCAACCTGTGTCAGTGCCTCACCACCCTCACAATGAAGAACTTTTTGCTAGTATCTCATCTAAATCTACCCAGTGTAGTTTGCAAAATGAGATTGTGAGAGTAGGTCTGTCATTCCCTCACATGCATGTACGGATAAGGTGGACACACTTTATGATTATTTAAGAAGGAGACATACTTGCGTTTCTTGACGTTGGTTTGGTTTTTTTGGTCTCCTGCCTTCCCTAGCGCAATTTTTTTCTGCATGTACCCAGAGCAGAATCAGCTAGAGATCCTTACGCTTCCATTGCACCTCAGCTCCAGCTGCAGCATTGTGGTCTGAGTAACAGGACTGTGCGTGGCTTCTTCCACGGGAAAGGCAGCGTAGAACACAACCTTCTTAATGCCCGCAGCTTGCAGGGAAATTACATGTGAAGCGGAGGCTATGTAAGACACGCAAACCTACTTCTTTCTGATCCGTTGTCCTCCGGGACACTGGGGGGTTAGGAGATAGCAGGTCACAGCGCCAAAGGGCACGAAGGCGCCACACGGAGGCTTTGGCCGCGGCCTAGTGAAGCCGCGGCGTTGGAGGAGGGCCTGTAGCTCCAACAGCAGCAGGGAGGAGGAGCCGGAGCCGGCACAACGGTGCCGCTTGCTGCAGGGTGCGGGATACCGCCACATCGCCCCGGCGCTGCGGGAGCAGCCCTGGCAGAGCTGCACGGCGAGCGACCCCTTTCCTGGCGTCCCGCCATTCCCCAGGGAAGTCCTCTGCCCCTCTGCATCGCCATCGGTGCGGCTGGAGGCGGCAGGAGAGGTAAGGCGGGAGGCTGCGCAGGGAGGCGGGAAGGAGGGTGTGTCACTTACCTCTTTGTGGGCGATGGTGTGTGGTTTGGGTTTCTCGTTTGGTTTTGTTTTATTGTTATGTTAGTTGCTCTGACAGTATTTGTGGTATTTTACTTGTATCCTTGTCTGTCCTGTGTGTGTACAAAGCAGAATGTTCGGGTTGTTCAGCCTGGGGAAGAGAAGACCCTGGGGAGACATTATTGTGTTCTTTCAGTACTTAAAAGGGGACTTTAAAAGAACTGGGGAGAGACTTTTTAGCCTCTTATGATGAGGTGTAATGGTTTTAAACTAAAAGAGAGAAGATTAAGGGTGGATGTGAGGAAGAAATTCTTTATGACTCTGGTAAACCACTGCCACAGGTTGCCCAGAGAGGTGGTGGATGCACCATCCCTGGAGACATTCAGGGCCGGGCTGGATGTGGGTCTGGGCAACCTGATCTAGCTCATTGCAGGGGGGTTGAACTGGATGACCTTTGAAGGTCCGTTCCAACCCTGTTATATGATTCTATGACAAGTAACCAGGGCAGTAGAGCTAATAATACAGCCATCTGCACATGGCCCCTGACAGCTATTTCTTCAGCTCTCCCTCTCTTTCCTCCTCCCTACCCATTAAAAAAAATAAAATGAAAAGCTCTAATATAAACCTTTCTAGTTTCAAAATAAGGAAAGTATATTTTACAGGGAGGTACTAAAATAAGCCTCTTACTGGCTGGTTTCCATGGTGCAGACCTTAATCTTGTGGTATGAATTCTACTCCATGATTTCTCAATCACTGATTTTTGTCTGCATAGGGGTGAAAGTTTGAAAACAAAAAAAAAAACCCAAAAAAACCCCACAACACAAAACACAACCAAATGAACACCAAACCCCATGACTACTAGCTACTCACTCTGGTCTCATTAATCCAACCGGCTGTTGCTTGAAAGTAGCAGTATCAAGAACCTAAGAGGGTGAAGATGTGCAAAACAGTCAAGGACAGCACACACACTGTCAGACCCCTCATTCACACCTTGAAACTTCCTGCTAAGTGGAACATCGAATATCCTTGCTTAATCAAATACCCTACTCTGAGCTATGCATTTAGGACCTGAAGCTGTTGAGGTGGACTTGGGCTTCTCAGAAGTATTAATGTTTTTTTTGTCAACAACTGTGTGATCTCAAGAACTGGGATGTTGCCCATACACAGCTGGATGGAGAACGATATCCTTCTGTCCCTTCTGTCCCTTACCCACACACTCTTCAGAATGACAAAATTAAGTACATATACCCTGAGGAAATGGTAGGTGGAAAGAAGGAGGGAGGCACTGGTATGTTGCTCATACTTCCTATTTCAGTTAGTATACTGGCATTCATGGATTCCTAGCCCCAGTAAAAGGATTAACAATCCCCTGGGGGGGGTGGGAGGGTGGGGGGGAATATATCAGTTAAAAAAACTTCAAGACCACAACTGGTTCCACAGGAAGTAATTGAAAATATAAAAAAGTACTGGAGTTGGAACAAACGAACATTTTACATTTAAAAAGGAAAGAAAACAAAACTATTACCTTAGAAGACATGGAAAGTGTTTGCCTATGGCTCGGTAATCTTCCTCTGTGCCTTGGCCATGTCTCAAGCCAATTTAATATCAGAACAGCTCAAACAGAACCACCCCGGTGTTACAATCGCCTCTGTCTTTGCTCATGGCACCAATTGTTCTCAAATATGAAGCACGTAATTATAAACTGAAGGCTTTCTAATTGTGAGAATTGGCTCTCTGGCTTGCTCCCAGCAATCTAGCAAGGAAGGAATATCTTCACCCAAAAGTTCTGCTTAACTTGATCAGTGTTTCTGTGGCCAGAGCAACGTAAAAGACTTCCAAAAAATTCCATTAGCACTGAAATGTAGTTAGAGAATATATGCACACCTTTACTGTCTGTGACTTTTGCTTACCTGCACCTGTGAAACTACAGTAAACATTCACACAAAACCAATTCCAACACACAGAACAGTGCGCCACCGTATCTCTTGTTAACATCTATGGGACAAGAAATAGATCAGTTAGACTAAGTACAGTGAGTTACCCACAAACAACTCGGACCTTATCTCTTACTGTTAGAAGTATCTCCATGGGACATAAGCAGTAAGAAAGAGCCATGTTTTATTAGCTTCATCTGATTATAGAGTGCCAGTTGTGCATAGGAATGATCTTCATTCAAAGAGGCATCTTCTCTTTAGATATGCAGTCAGCGTGTTTGTGAATAATCGCATCTAACAGAAGCATGTTCTTGAAAATTCCCCTGAAAATCAAGCTGGATCTGGTCAGGTTTAAGTTACAGAAAAAGCGTCCCCTTGTGTGTGTGCTTTAGAAACCACAGTTGTTGCTCTTAGCTTTATGAAATGGTTGCTTGCAGTGCCATGCACACAGAGACTCTGACACTTTCAGAACTAATGGTCGTGGTATGTGGAATTGACAGCAAATAACCCTTATGTTGCACTAATAGGAGGTACAAATATATATGTATATATGTGTGCATTTATATATGTATATACACATAACAGCCATTCTTTTAAGGAGGAAATAACAGGTTAGTACAGATCACTGTGATTCTACAACTCAGACTTTTTAATTCAACTTTTTTAGTGCTTCACTTTGTAACTTTAATACTGTTCTGTTAGTTCCTGTCTCGTTTTTATATATAGCATACACAGGTATGCAAAAACCATTAAATTCCAAATACCTGATCTATGGGGAAGGAGGGAAAATCACTGAGAAACCTTTGATATGGAAAATAGCATTACTTGCTTCTCTCTAACTTTTCTATCTTTGTTGCTTTCCTTAGGTTTGCAACAATGGTAAAGGAGGATACTGTAAAAGACAATGAAGATTTTGAGCCATCAGTATGTGAGAGAAATGGCATGATTCCCTTGCATAAGCAAAGTGAGGTAATTAATTAGGGTCTCAAAGTACAATTTCAGTCAGAGGGAACTTTTTTCCTTTCCTTTTTCTTTCTACATACGTTAAAATCCCTACATTGGAAGGGAGCACAGAGAGAAACCTTCTCAGCAGGAATTTGTTACAATTAACAAATGTTCAGGTTTTTTAAGTCTGTGGTATGTTCGATTGCTGGAAATCAGTGGTTGCAATTTCAGCTTTAAGTGGCAAATGCATCAGCTTATATTTTACAATCAGCTATTTAAGAGAATTTTTTTGACTCAAAATTGCTTCTTTGCTTTCAAATTGTGCCTGTCAGTCCACTTGCTGAAAGTTGTTCCTGCATGTCTTCCTTATCTAAGAAAAATAAACACCTCCACCAGTTTTAAACTTCTATAGGCATAATTCCAGTGTTCTTGGAAACTTCTGTGGCTTTGAAAAAGATTTGCTGTAAATGCAAGGAAGAATAAAGTTCTTAACTTAAAAGGCACTTCAGAGCAAACATATAGCATTGACTGGAAAGGTAAGTACTGTATGGTGTGTCTTTATACACACCGGTAGCTGGCAATCACAGGGTAGGTAAACAAGTAAATGCTGAAAGCTCACAAGATTTGTGTTCCAACTGTGACTCTGAGTAAGGGATATATATAGAGAGAGAGACAGACAGGCAAGACAGAAAAAATTAATTGGAAATGTGGAACTGTGTTACTGGAGGAGGGCCAAACCACAGTATAGGCAAGAATTTCATGTCCGTGCTGTGACAGTGAGATGACGTGAAGGTGAATAATCATAGGAGAAGGCAGATGATTAACTTGTCAAAAATAAGAACCCTAAAAATGAAGTGAGACACATATCCAAAAATGGTCAAAAAGCGCTTTGGCTATGAAGATGGATAAGTAGATGAATCACTGTAAGAGAACAGCTTCAAGGAAACATTCTTCAAGGAAATAACTCCTAGGGTAGTATTTCTCCATCTCTACCTTGACTTACCAGTTTGACACTTCCAGCAATGGATCATGTAAGTAATGCTTGCACTGGACAGCTGTTCTGTTTCTTTCATCTCTAATCATAAATAGTTTTGTTATTTTGGTTCAAGGCTTTGCAACAGAAATTATTTAGGAGTTATATTAAAGACGCTGTCTCACTAGAATGATGCTTATCATTAACTATATTGTGAAATCTAGACTGGAAGTGGAACCTTATCAAATTGTTTAAAATATTAACAAATATTTAGCTTGTATACAAGTCAACCTGAACTTGGCCTGTTAATATTTCTTCATCAAATATGAACAGCTGCTATTTGTACTGGGACAGGAGTCCTGTCAGTTGCAGATAAAAAGGCAAATGTCCCAGAGTATTTCACATGGAGTTCTTTTTGGCATGCAAAACCAAACACATCACCAAAAATCAGAAAAATACTACAAAGTTGGACCATTCCTACGGCAATAGTTAAAAGGCTGTGGTATATTGGATTGCTGGAAATTAGTGGCTGCAATTTCAGCTTGAAGTGGAACTAATTAACTAATGTAATCTGTAGACAGTGTGGAATTCATGAATCATAGCTGATTTCAGGTCTTGTACTGCTATATAGTAGTATACTGCTATACTGCTTCAGGTATATACAGTGCTGTTTCTGAGGGAGTCTCATTCTTTTCCTTCAGGAGGGACCAGCAGTAGATGCCAAAGGTACTGGTGGGAATATACAAACAGAAGAAACTGCTCTCTTGAATCACTGTGGTCAGCAACCTCTGGAACCAAAGTCAGGGTCTTCAATACCTGCAAGAACATGGAGCCAAATATTTACATGTCCTCCTCAAGGTTTACTGTCCCGAACAGTGACAAATGGTATGTACCAGAGTCTAGTTAAAACAAAAAATGACAAATGAAAATACTGATTTCTCTGGATGTGATAATATTTGTCCATTGTCCTTGAAAATAACAAAGGGAAATAGCTATGGTTTACATGTTTTACTTTTGTTTCAATGTTTTAGCAGGAAAAAAAAAACCAAATCAGGTGAAACAAAGGTTTGAATGTGTATTTTTTGTTCCTCCATCCTCTCTTGTGTGTTTAGCATGACAGGTGTGTTTTTGCATTGCAAATTGTTTTAATCAGAAGAAAGACCTCCCAGTTCTCGTCTTGGTAGTTTGTTTTGGTGTGGGAGCATCAGGATGATTATAAACACAGTAGGATTTTTGTCACACTAGATGGCTTTTTGTTGAATTAAGGCAACAAATATGAGACTTGGCAGAGATAACTTCTTTTGTTCCTTAATACTGTAGGTGTATAAAGCCAAGAATCCTCCTAACTACATGGAAAACTAACCCATTCTGTTTAAGATGTGCCCTACACTGAAGGCTCACAGAAGAGAATGCCTGGATAACCAGTTATTTAAGACTTTTCCTAACAAAAGACACTTCCTTCTTACTGCAGTTTTGAAGTAGCCGAAGACATGCAAAGGCAAGATAAGTTAGTGAAAGTCTTTGCTTTAAGTTCAGGACCTGTTAAGTGCTTTCCACAGTGGCCCCAGTGCTCCCTCAGTACTTTCTGGTCCCTAATGATGTTCCTAGTACCATTTTTTAAAGTATCTTAGCATCTATAAAATCAGAACATCAGTTTAGGGAGCATCAAAGATGAATTAATAATATTGTTATGATTAAGCTAATTTTAAGTGATTTTATTTTTGAAAGTCAGGGTACTGTTTTCATTAGTAGAAAAACAAAAGTGGTCTAATAGCAAACAAAGTCATCCCTGAGAAATGACTAAATATGAATATTTATTGTTTTATTCCAGTTGCAGTCGTGGTCCTGGTTTGGGCTGTGGTTTGGTCCATCACTGGGGCCGAGTGTCTCCCAGGTGGAAATCTGTTTGGAATTCTGTTTCTTTATTTTTTTGCTGTCATCGGAGGGAAAATTTTTGGATTCATCAAAATACGAACTCTACCCCCTCTCCCTGCTCTTCTGGGTAAGATATCCTTCCTTCATTTCTTCCTACCAATTTGAGTGGTTTAAACTGTCAAGTAGCACCTGCATGCTAGGTATGTTTGGATTGGGAGTAAACAAACTGTGTCATACTCAAAATCTGTAGCTTTTCCAAGTGACTTTTATCTGGTCTTCTCTGAGAAGGTGCAAAATTCCCCAACCTGTCTCAGGTGAAATTGCCTGTATGTTACTAAGGCTCTCTTTCTAATTCTTTGGGGACCAGAGAACTGTATACCTACAGATTCTAAGATTATTTTCCTTCAGTCCCCTCTGTCACAGTTACTTAAAATTTGGGTTTAATGTTACCAAAAAGGATTCTTAATTTAGACCTGCTATTACGGTAGAATAATTAATTCATAAGGAAATCATTGCTGAGCAATTTTGCATGTATCTTGCACAATGAAAGTGATTTCCAGAGAAAACACTACAAGAATTCCCTATTACTGGTAGTCCAAAGCAATTCCTTTCTCCTTTCTTTATCTCAAAATAACTGAAACCTGAGAAAATAAAACTGACCACAAGGAGTAATTCTTTTGAAGAGAGTTATTTTGAATCAATCATAACATTTTTTTCATATACACATCTTATTTTACATAAAAATACAAAATAGAAAATGATGTTAATTCTGGCATCATCAGAACCTTTTCAGACTCCCTTCCTAAAGGAGGTTTTGGTTAGACCAGTACAAGGTTGTGAAGTGCTGCAATGTCAATGAAGCTGAAAAATGAAGCTCCAGGTTCTTCTCACCAGCTGTATACTATCCCCTTACCATGCTTAGTGCATAAACGAGTAAAGCTGTTGACAGACAGTAAAATTTCATGGCACAGTAGGCTACAAATACCTGCCTGCAGTGCACAGGTGAGATTTTATAACCTGCATAGCTGGTATTGTGCTTCCCACAGTAGCACTGCTTACAGAAGGGCTCGATAGCATCATATACAGCTCTGTCCAGGTAGAATGTGTGTTCTTGCACTGCTTAGTTTCATAAGTGAGAATAAATTCAAATGAGAGGGAGGGAAGTTTTGCATGTTGCATATCTGCCTGCAATGACATGAATACAGAATGTAACACACAGGGATTCTGCCCTTTCTTGGTAAACAAAGAGAAAAAAAAGATAAAACAAAAAAAAAGATCTGACCGTTTGGATTCTGCTTTTTTCTTTTTTAAATTAAATCTGCATCAAAAAATTATGAGTTGAGCATGAAACTGCTTGTCAGACGGGTAATCCTGAGCAACAGAAACTTAAACATGACAGCACACGTCTGTTGAGTTGCTTAGGACAGAGTTCATCATTCAGATCCCCAGTCTTTGAGGAAAAATGAAGAAATCTGTAAGTCAGAGGAAAAGATGGACAATGTCTTTGAATACTCGCTTTCACACTGGCAGTACAATTCTTGTACTCTTACGTGCCTTTAATCCACTTCTGCTAGGTGCAGGTGAGTGTAATGTGGATGGCTGAGCACTTAAGCACATTATAGTGAGCCTCTGTCTCAGGAAGAAATGGAGTGAAATTGCTACTGAAACAGTCACCTAGTATATTTTAGGTACACATTGCAGAGATGTTTCTGTAGCAGGCAACATGGAGCAGAACAGTGAAGATATCCATTGAGGTGGTTTTTTTTGATTTGTTGGGTAGATTTCTAGATCAGGGTAGCTCCAGTGATTTGGACCTCATGCAAACATTGCAAAGAGCATGTGATCATTATGCTAGCCTGATATAACTGTCATGAGGCACATTAGTTATCCCATTTTTTTTCCTGGGAGGTGGTAGAAAGAACAATGTCCAAAAATTTAGTAAGTTCCGGGACAAATCAAGTCCACAGCCAAGGCTCGCACCAAGCTGGGACCAACCTGAGCAGTGTTTACTTTTCATCTTTTTTTGTTTCCTGTTTCTTTATATGGCTAATACAAATTTATGACACAAAAATGTATGTTTGAATCATCAGGCTCTACAAGAATCTCTGCAGATCTACATTTCAAGTCAAACTTCCCTGTGCTTTTCCGTGTCTTTCCAGAACCACAGTTCCAGTAGCTTTGCAGGAAGTCTGATTAGGTAGCTTTGCTAATATTTGTAAAAAGTTGGATCTTACAAGTAGCTGAAGTAGAAGATAAGACCAAGTTCCTGATTTTTCCCCCTCTTTGCATAAAAGTCATATTGCCAGAGACTTTTAAAATGTCTGTTAGCTGTTTTAGATTGTATTTCCCAATGAACTCAGCATTACAGTTCCTCTGATACCTGCATTTCTTACACCTAAGAGGATTTTTAATGACTTCCAACTTCTGAGGTAAATACACAGTATTAGACAATCTTCCTCTTTTCATGTTAAAACAAGCTAAGAAGAAAAATACCTTTAAGGATGCGGAGGGGTCTTTGCTTAATGGCAAGAATGACCTGTACCTGGTGAACAAAGCTGAATTCTGGTGACTCGCACTAAAGCTATGTGTCAGCATCCTGTGGATTTATTAATTGGTGATCTAGTGTGTTCTTAGGCCACTTTCTTTGTTTTAAATGTGTCTCTCTCTTTCCGTGCTTTAGTCCCCATTGTTAAAACATGGTTAATAATTCAGAACATTGTTTCTTCATCTCTCATCAATACATAATATGGTGTCTATTTTTAGAATGCTATGCAAGCTTTTCTTGTGCAATAAAAACAAATAATTTGACAGGCACTTACTTGCTTTCATTTAAGGGATGCTACTTTCTGGTTTCCTGATCCGAAATGTATGGTTCATTAGTGACATTGTCCAGATAAATCTGCACTGGTCGGCAGCACTGAGAAATATTGCTCTTTCAATTATCTTGACCCGAGCAGGACTTGGCCTAGATCCAAAGGTATGGCGACAGCTGTTTGTGTGAAGCAATGTATACAACAGCCCTCAAAAAAAAAAAAAGTTAATAACAGTTCAGTATTTTTATGAGAACCAATTAAGTCTTAAAGGATCTGCAAATTAGCTCATAGACCCATAGCATGGTTTGGATTGGAAGGAACTTTAAAGCCCGTCCAATTCCAACCCCCTGCCATGGGCAGGGACACCTTCCACTGGACCAGGTGGCTCAAAGCCCCAACCAACCTGGCCTGGAACACTGCCAGGGATGGTGGAACCACAACTTCCCTGGGCAACCTGTTACAGTGTCTCACTACCCTCACAGTAAATAACGGAAAGCGTAGTTTTTATCGTATAGTTATATGTGTGTTAATATTGGCAGTTGGGTTTGTGAAGCAGGCAGTCAATCAAAAAACTACGTGAAGAAAACTGATTTTATGACCATTTTCCCCTTGCCTTAAACAAATTTCCTGAATTTTGTGACCAGACCATCTCGAGGACATGTACCCCCTGGTTTGTCAGAAGAGTTTATGCTCCCTGCCAAGCTCCCTGTCAGTTTATACTGACAAACTAAAGCAAGTAATGGAAGGGATCCCCAATCCTTGAAAAGGAATGTTGCTTTTGTTTTGTTGTTGGCACAAATCAAAAAAACCCAGCCAACTAAAACATCCAAACTTGTGTGGTTTTTTTTGACTTACTTATTTCTTTGGTTTTTTTTTTTTTTTTTGAATCATTGCCATTTCAATGCAAATACATTACTGGCAACCATGAGTCCTGCTGCACTACAGAAACAATGCTTCACATCACAGTTAGGGTTTTTTGTTCACAGTGAATTCCATAATGCTCCTGTGAACAAAAACATAGCCTTCCTCTGCACACCATGAAACCTGACATCCCGTAAATTAACAAAGCTGAGGTTTTGCTTAAGCAAAATCAGCTGGCTGAAATAAAGCTGTACTGTATTGGTCCCTATCCATTTAAGTTAAAGGGACCATTTAAAGTTCATAGAAAACTTAGGTCAAGTATAGCTAGTTCAGAACAACTAAAATGATTTTACTTAACCAAGGAAGACTTGGGAGTTGCCAATGCTTCAGGTATTTAGAAAAATAGGGTGTTGTCATTCTTGAAAAATACCTGGTTTCCTAGATGACGATTGTCTCTTTTCCTAAGACATTGAAGCTTGTATGAGCATCGTGTTACACACAGCTTGGATGCCCAGTTCTGGGAGATGGCTTTTCTTTATATTCCATGACAACTTTTTTTTTTTTTTGCCAAGGGAGCTTCGTCTTTTGACTCATTTTTCTCCCACGTGGCAATCGAAGCTCTGGAGCAATGCTTTGATGCAGTTACAATGGCTCCTGGTGTAATTGAAGCTGTGAAGACAAAGATGTAGGTTGCTCTGGTAATTCCCAGCCCTAATTATGCTGGTAAAAAGTGTAACTCACTGAATTTGCCCCCGCCACCCCATATGTCAAAATTAGGGACCTGTCCTAGCAGAGTCATGTTTGTGACTAACTTTTAAAGGCAGCTGTTACATGTAAATACTCTGGTTTAGAGAAATTTTTTAATAGAAGTTGCTGAGCCAAATGGAACTTAATATGCTCTGGATATCAAGTGAGAGACAGCTGGAAGAAATGCTTGGCTCCTTGTGCCAAGTGTATGTGGTTCTACAACTTTTCATGACTTACTGATGGGGGAAATTTTTTTTTGGGGGTGATGCTTGTGCAACTTGTGGGATTATAGCAAATTCTGCTGTGGGTGGAGCAAACGGCCTCAAGTAACTGTGGGTAAGTCAGCTGTGTTGAGGGTGTACTTTTCAACTGGATCCCGGTCCAGCCTCTCACATTTACCTTGCTCTGCACAAGAAGCCAAATAGAATTTTCTGCCCCTCCTTCCTGTGACATGCAGGAACCTTGATGGCCCTAGATTCAGTGGGTTTCACTGCCACACTTGGAATTCTATATCCAAATCCAGTTGCACTTGAGCCTGTCTCAGGCTTAGGCCATATAAAGCTGGCACATCCTGTACTGCAGCTTAGAGAGGATTCTTTTCATGAACCATGTCAGATTGTACATTAATTTCCTCTCTATAAAGACAAGGAAGGGTACTGAGACTAATGTCTGAAAGTGTTTGTATATTGCAGGCTCTTAAGAAGCTCAAAGCAGTCTGTTTACGGCTTTCCTTTGGACCATGCATCTCAGAAACATGCACAGCTGCTGTTTTTGCCTACTTGCTCATGCATTTGCCATGGCAGTGGGGATTTATTTTAGGGTAACGTACTCTCTTTTCTCCTGTATGACAAATGTGTCTGTTTTCATGGTACAGTTAAATGATCCAAGTGCAGTTAGTTCTCTGCACCAAAAGGAGACCTCAGTTTAATGCCAGTAAGTTAGGAAACTGTGCTTAGGCCCCATGATTGTTTGCTTACCATTCATGTCTGGCTCTGTGGCTAATTTGAAGGTCACATTTCCAGGCTGTGGATGAGTACTTGCATCATTAATCTTCTGTGTTTGTGATGTGAGCACTTGAAGAAGGCTGGTGTGACCATTGAGTCTTCAATCACAACACAGAGGGCTTCTAGGGACAGAAAATGATACCACAATTTGGAGAATTTGCATGCTGGAATTCAGAATTTCCTTGTACAGAAATGCACATAGGACAGTCTTCCTGACCCAAGTCAAGGATAAGGATATGGCATGTTATATTCTGGAGTAATATCCTTAAAGAGGAAACCTTTTCCGTCTATTTCTATCTAAACTGGTAGAATAGGTCCAGATGCATATACTGGAGCAAGATGGATGAACTCCTACTACGCCACACATTGATTTTTATGAGAAGGAACTGGGCTGCTGACTCATAAGCATGTCTAGACTAGGTTCCTAAATGGGACAATTAAGACATATATCAGGGAGCATAATTGGCCTGCAGTGTAGACTCAAGTCTTAGAGCCCTTTATTTTTAATACTATTGAGTTGGGCAGGAAGAAAGAACCTATTGCAAATGTGTGTAGAAATACCCCTGCTTGTAAGGAAAATACCTTATGTAAAGACTTGTTTATTTATGCTTTAAAAGAATTGGGGTCAGAACATTCTGAGGTTTTTCAGTTCAGTGCTTTCTTTTTAAGAGAGGCTGAACCTGTGTGTTTTCAGTTTTGTTCTAGGTGCAGTCTCCCCTGCTGTGGTGGTTCCCTCAATGCTGATTTTACAAGCTGGGGGATATGGGGTGGAGAAAGGTGTCCCAACTTTGCTAATGGCAGCCGGCAGCATTGATGACATTCTGGCTATCACAGGCTTCAACACCTGCCTTGGAATAGCTTTCTCTTCTGGTATGCTGGTTAATCTGTGTGTGGTGAAATCCAGAATAAGCAGTGATGTTTTAAAGAACATGTGCTCTGTTATGACTGACTGGTTTGTAAGTTAATGACATCTTCTTATAAAGTTCATGTATGGACTTGAATATTGAGAGGGAAATTATTCATGATCGAAAGTCTTGATGTAACATGGTCTGCTCTGAGTTGTGGGTCACAACAATTTTCAGAGAACATTTTTCCCTCTCTGCTCCCTTAGCTGCCAAGTCTTGCCCTGCATTCCCAACATAATGCTTTCAAATATCCCTGGGTTTGGCAGTGTTCTTGGAGTTGCTTTTTGTTTACCTTCTTTCTTGGCATGAACTTCCAGAGAGAGAAAGATGCACTATCCAGTTCTTTCAGGGCCATACATTCCATCCTGAACCCCTTTGCCCCAAGTAATTTAAAGCAGACACTGCCCTGGAATCACCCTTGTAGGTATACAGTGTGGTTTGTGCATGAAAAGTCTATGTATAGCTTACTGAACCCATTTTTCTTTTGCCAAATAGGTTCTACTCTGTACAATGTTCTCCGTGGGGTACTGGAGGTTGCTGTTGGCATAGCAGCTGGGGGGATTCTGGGAATGTTTATTCGATACTTCCCAAGCCACGATCAGGTAAAAAAACAGTAAAAAGCTCTTAATGAAATAGAGACTCTTTGATAAGGGATAATGTTCTTAACTTAGTAATTTCCAAGCTTCACATGAAGCTGGTTTTGGAGAAAGCTGTGTACAGAGCTAACAGCTTTCAGGTTGCAAAGCCTATCTATCAAGTGAGGATGCGTGTTACAGGTAACTTTACTGCACCAGTAACTATGTATGATCTCATAGTCCTTCCCAGTGGAGATTTTGGAACTGAGCTCACTACCCTGCTCTCATTGAAGGTGGTGGAATTGTCCACACATAAAGGAGAAAGCGTCTGATACCCATTTCAGACAGCAAAATAATCATCAGTTAGACTGATGTGTGACACATTTACTTTTGTAAGTGTAGGCCTCTTTCCAGTAGGCCTAAGATTAAAAATGAGTAAAGCAGACAGATTGTAGGTGTTAAGTGATGGGGCATACAAGTAGTGCTAATTACAATGTGTTACTTTCAATGAAAATCAAGCCTGTCTAAAATGATAGATGAATTTACCATCAAGGGGCAATTAAGCAAATAGAAAATTGTGGAAGAAAGTAGATATGTTCTGGACTACCTAATCTCAATTTGCAAAGCATCTGTTGCCCTCAGTGGGACCAAATTTTCTTCTTATCAAATACCACAAGAAGATACAGGAACTAAACAGATGAATAGAAATGGGCAACAGTGGAAGAGATATGTCTCCTGCAGGACTGGATCAAGACCCATCTAGTGTCAAGGATTTCACCTCTCCTTGGATAAATCGTTCTAGTACTTGAACACACAGGTAGAAAAACCTGTTATCACAGAGTTGAAGCAGGGCTGTTAGAACAGAGAATCATATTCCTTGTGATAAAAAAAAAGCTTACTGGCAGTGAGACTTTGGATGGGCAGAGGATAGAAAATATTACATTTAAAAATTTTAAATTTCTTAAGAATTAATGTCAAAAAAAACCCCTCTCAATCCAGCAGTTCACATCTTACTTGAAAACTTTGATTCTTTCATAGTGGTTAATGACAATTTCTGTTTTCAAATTGTTCCCTTCAAAATCATCAGCAGACACCTTTTTCCTCCATTTCTAAAAGAAATTTACTTTTTTTTTGTTTGCTTCTTTCCTTGGCTGCAGGTGTCTCTGGCATGGAAGAGATCATATTTTGTACTTGGGCTGTCCATGTTTGCTGTTTTTGGCAGCATCTACTTTGGCTTCCCTGGATCAGGAGGGCTCTGCACATTAGTCTTAGCTTTTGTTGCAGGTGTTGGATGGTCTGAGGAAAAGGTAAATGTTTGCATAAAGAAGTGTACCATAGCAAAACCCTTTTGTGTGTACAGCCTGACAGGAGTTTGAATTTCTGTCAGGGGTGATAATAATGCATTTATGAAGCCTTAGGAGGGGTGTGGATTAAAGAAAAAAGCATTCTACATTTATTTTGGAAGTCTTTAACATTTAACATTTAGCATGACAGAAAGTTATGTGAATATATATCAATACAGAGCCTAATATACTGGCAGAGAAATGCTCACAGACTTGTCTTAGACATCTTAAGCCATTTAAAGGAGATTTATTGTCAAGGCACTTGACTAGGAATCCAAAGCTTTATGTCCCAGCTCTGAGCATCTGTAACATTACACTGTCATGTTATGGTAAGATTTACAAACAGGTGTCCAAAATACAGTTGTGTGCATGGCCTGAATACCCTGAGGTTTTGTTACGCAGTTTTGGGGTGGTGAAATGGAAAACAGTAATTAAGCATCTTCTCTCCTCTTTCCCAAATTTCAGCCAGTGTATTCCAGAGAAAAGAGAGCAGGATACCCACAATAAAGGGTGCTATAAGGCCGTATAAAAAAAATACAAAAGACTGCTTTTTAGTTACTTTTTCTTAGCTACTAAGCCTGCTTCCTCTTACCTTTGCTGCCACACTGCATTTCTTTACCTCTCACTGTATGTCTGCCTCTTTTGCTTGATATCAGATACACGAGGGCATCTTTCTCTCTACAGGTGTAGCCTTGAGACATGCAGTAGGAGAAGGGAAGGAGAAAGGGGATCAGATAGGGGATCAGATATAGCAGAGCCCATGTTCTTATCCCCATCTAGACCCTGAGTTCAGTAAGATCTCAAGGTTTGTTAAAACAATGAAAAAGAAACCATGGTTTCTATTTGGAAGTATTACCTTGTTGTCCAAGTTTAAAAGCAGAAAAACTCATCTTGGGACTTAACCACTTAAGGACATTAGATCTGATAAAGCGCTCTATTGGAAAGCTTTTAAACCATTTCAGAAAGAAGGACCTTCTGCAGTCTATAAATGCTTAGTTTAAATTATTTTGATCAGTGAATGAAGTTTTCTGGCCTTAAGGATGTTCTTTTCAAATACCTTAGCTCTTTTCTATCAGGTACAGTCAGAGATTTGAAGGTTTTCCTGCTGAGCTTCTCATCACCTCCTACTTCATCCTACGTCCTCCTCCTTCCATCATCCGTGGTGGAAGTCACTTGGAAAATACTGTCCATGGAGAACAAGGAACATAGTACCTATTGGTGGAACAGTTAAGTGGAGAGTAAAAAGACTGAAAGGATGCCAGCATCTGTAAAGAGTTTTTGGGTTTGTTTTTCTATTTTTAAAAGAAGGGTGAGATGACAAGGTGAAATGAGGCAAATAAAAAAAACTGTTTAGCAGTCTGTACATCTTCACCCTGTTCTCTCTGAGGTTACAGAAGTTTCTGTGTTACAATTTTCTACCATTCTGTTGACTGAAGAACAGGAAGACTCCTGTTTATCCTGGCAGCAGTTTTCGGAAAATTGTTAGACGTAAAATTCAAATGCAAGGAGAAAAGACAGCATTGCCCTTATACAGGGCACACTTGAAAGTTCAACTTTTTACTGGTATGGGATTTCAGACTTGCTCAGTCTAATTTTGCTCCTGCTCACATGGAAAAAGGCCTCTTGAGTGCAGCACAAGCAGGGTTAGGTCTTAACTGAAATTTAGAGGTCTGACTGTGCTCAGACACAGATGGAAGAACACATTTAAGCATGCAGTTCCCAAAGGCTCAGAAACTTCATGGCAAAGCTGTTCAAACTACAGTGTCTCCCTAAATACTGACACCATCTGTGCTTTTATTTTCCTCCTCTTGTCTGTAAACTGCTCTGTCACTCTTCAAATATCAGTGACTTTTATTTCTCTTCTTGAGATAATAAGCATTTATTTACTGGCAGAACTACACACTCTGACCTTCAAAAGGTACACAACAGATTTTGAATCTTTTAGTATTAGCTCAAAGGAGAAGCAATTCTGGACAATCTTTATGATACATTTTCACTTTGATTAATTAAATCTTGTGTCTACTTGGCCGTATTTTTGTGAATTTATTTGTTATTTTTGTTTTCATTCCAGAAAGAAGTAGAAAAAATTGTTGCTGTTGCATGGAATATCTTTCAACCTTTTCTTTTTGGTTTAATTGGTGCAGAAGTATCTGTTACATCTCTTAGGCCTGAAACTGTTGGTAAGATCATCCAATAATTATCCAGCTTTAATATCTGTAAGGAAATCTAAAGCCAAGAAGCTGACACACCCCCCCCCCCCCAAAAAAAAAAGAAAAACCAAAAAAATGAAAGTCAACCCCACTTTAAAGCTATGGTTTTAGGAGCCTTATTGCTCTCAGACACCTATGCACAAAAGTACTGAGAAGTGTTTGTCTTTGTTGCAGGACTCTGTGTTGCTACATTGGGCATTGCCCTCCTTGTGCGAATCATAGCAACGTTCCTGATGGTGTGTTTTGGTGGGTTTAATTTCAAGGAGAAAATATTTATCTCATTGGCATGGATTCCCAAGGCCACTGTCCAGGTAAGCAGTTCAACATCACTCTCATTCCAGGCTAAATTAGTTGTCCTTAGCAAAGCTCCTTATAACTAGCACAGTAATAAATAGGGAGAGGATCAGGCTCAATAAAAGCAGAGTGTAGATACGGACAGTTCATATTCTAAACCACTGCTTGAAAAGTGCATGGACAGCCTTTTATGTGAAAGTTTTTTGCTTGCATCCTGGGTTGTACTCTTAATAAATGACAGCAAATTGTACATATAGGAAATTTAACTATTTCTCAGCTATTGCACATTACTGTGCCTTTACATACAGGTTCTAAGAACTTTCAAAACAAAAGTGCTTCCCTCTTATACATGAAATGTCTGCAGGAACAGTCACATCAAGAGGCTTAGAATGGGTTTTCAGTTTCTGGTAAGGGGTAGTCTGACAGCCATATGGATAGAGAAGCCTCAGGCTGGCTGCATTCTTTCTTTATTTCAGTGATTGTTAAGTTATTTAGGTGTCACCTAAATAGCATGATTAACTGCAGACAAAAATTAATATTCCAAACAGGTAAGGATTATTGCAAAATTTGCAAACTATACTTTCAGAAGCTGCTGCTAGCTGACTGTTGTCAGGATGCATTCTGTGGTATTTTAACAGCTGCAATGAAGAATACACTGGCTCATTTCATTAATCACAAATCTTCCAGAAATGTAGGTAAGAGGACAGCTAAACAGTGTTCTTCATGGGAGGGAACCATCCAGATAAACTCATTAGCATAGAAAATTCAAAGTGTATCCAAGCAAAAAGTGTTCTCATAGGTATAACATTTACTTTTTTATTTACTGTCTAGAAATTAATCGACTCAGTGTACTACAAATGTCAAATTTATGCTAAATATTGACAGATGATTAGTTTCCTTTTTTACCTCTTTCAGTGCTAAAGGCTACTTGCTCCATTTCACCAGTGTTTTCTTTCCTGCAGGCTGCAATAGGCTCTCTTGCCTTGGATACAGCAAGAAGTCATCAGGATGAGCAACTGGAAAAGTATGGATTGGATGTACTGACAGTAGCTTTCTTGGCTATCTTAATCACTGCTCCAGTTGGAGCTCTGGTTATTGGTTTGGCAGGGCCCAGACTTTTGCAGAAGGCTCAGACAAATAGCAAGGAGGATGAGGAAGGTGCTGCGGTTGGAGAAGAAACAGAGGCCTGTGAGCCTTCGTAAGATGGACATCTACAGGAATATGGCCCTTCAGCCCTTATGCTTCTGTTGAGTAAACACAGATGTCTGTAACCTTTCTGGAGGAAACCAAACCAAGTATCAGTTATGTCTGCTATTTTGAAAGCAGCCGTGGCAGAGTTTTATGAAATATTTTTATGTGTTGATAGTGCCTTAAGAGATAAAACAGCTGAACATACAGTGAATGGGCTGGCCAGGCAGTGAGTCACTGAGAAATTAGCAGTGAACAGTTACTTGAAATATGTGGGTGTGAGGTCAGGATCAGAATTGTTCAGGCACAGAGTTGGAGTTACGAGGTGGAATATAAACAGGAGAGATTGGAGATTAATGTGAATAACTTCTTGATGGTTGAAACTAGGCCGTGAGATACCAAGTTCAACTGCTCAAAGAATGCAACTCTCTGAATGAGAGACTGCTGGCATACAGTGAATGAATCCTGCCATGGGTTGGTGATTCTCTCTCCTTCCTCATTCAGGTTCCAGAACGTGCCTTCTCATATTGCTGTTCTTCTTCAGCTCATGTACTCCTTTGTGCCTTGAAAGGACTGTCAGCTCTGGTCATAGCAAGAAACAGGAAGTGGTACTTAACGTGCTGAAAGAGAGCTAGGTCCTTCATGGGCTGTTGTAATGGAGGTGTTGCTGGTGCTAGTAGAAAACAGGACTGAGCTTGAAAATGGCATGAGGATTGTGGGGAGGCTGTAAGGACTGGGAGAGCGTTGTACGGGATTGAGATGGCTGCTTCTTCACCTGCGTTCCTCAGCCTTCACGCAACATGATGTCAAGGGAGGGAAAGCCAGTTCTTCAGCCACTGAGAGTGGCTGTGTTCTGGTACTGGCCACTGCAGGACAGAGGTAAGAGTTCTTAGGTGGGGTTAGCTGACAGGGCAAGGCCAAGGTGGCAATGAGTTGTCACTTTCTTCCTCAGTTCCTGTTGAGCAACTCAGTGATAGCAGCAGACCTCAAATCAAGATTCCTAGGTCAGCTGGGATCTCCTATTGCTTTGTCCTAAATGAATACTCATCTGGCTGAGAAAATGCCATGATCCAGCCCCTCTCACGTCTGCTTTTGGACAATTACAGCAAAGAAAACCAGGTATTTGCTACAAATATAGCCAGAGGTGCTCACTTTTCCAAGGGGTGGTTTGCTGAATTGATTGTGGAGAGTGGAGGCCTCTAAGACTTCCCAAGGTATTTTTGACTCTGACTGATGCAGAAAACTGATACACTTTAAATGAATGACCTTAAAAATACAGTGTTGAGAGGGGATTGTTCAAAGTGAAAGGAGCTTCATTCTCACCTACCTTCAGAAAGGCTGCTGTGTGAAGGCAGGTGTCATGAGGAAGCTGCATTAACACCACAGTGCTAGCACCCTCAGTACATACCCCCAGATACTATGGGTCTTTCAGAAAAAACAAGTTTCTCTGTGAGGCTGTGGATCATAGTAATGACTGACAACAATTGTGTTAAGTATCTTGCCAAAACATTTCACCAGGGGGAGCAGAAAGCTCAAATATGGTATTCTTCAGTGTATTTAATATAGATGTATCCTGCAGAGTCAGCTGCAATACAGTACACATCTGATACTCCCATTCTCAGAATAATTTCTCCTTGGCTGTTCTAAAGCCAGAAGTAAACCTCCTCAGTTGACTGAAATCCTGCTCATGCTCTAGCTGTGGTATTGGTTAGGGTTTTGTATTGACAGGTACCAGCAGACCTTTCTCACTCTGCTGTTTTGTACAAGTAACTAGCTCCAAGTAGGTCGTTCCCACCTCCACTCTCAGGCATGGAATCAGCACAGCATCACTCAGAAACTGCAGGTTTTCATAGAACGGTTTGTGTTCAAATGGACCTCAAAGACCATCTAGTTCCAACCCTATGGGTTTTTTAGCAAGAATGCTACATTGTGCCTGTATTCAAGGTGCCTCAGTGCATATATCTGCACTACAGCCAGAACTGAACTGAACTCATTTTACAGGCTACTGTGCAGAATATATTTGATGTGTCTAGATCATTTTGGCATTAGTAAGAAAGAATTAACCAATTCTGTTTTAGCTTTTACAATTTTAATATGCAACACAAAAATGTCAAACTTTTAAAAGAAAACTACCTAAAACTGTATTATTTACAGAGTGTTCGTGTATGCCTCTGTATACAGATTAATTGCACATCAATAAGTATGCCTTGGTATATGCTTCCTCTTCCAAGCCAAAAAGGAAGCTTCCTGAGAAATATTTTATCACTGTGAAATTCCAGCACAGTGATAAAACAAGGAAATTCTTTGATAAGTTCTCCCCAAACAGTTGTCAAGAACTTTGACATTTTTTCACCATGTATGCTGCTGTTCTCTCTGATTCCTTGGGGAATGTACAATCTTCAGTTCAGTTCATGTTTGTCCCCCTGACCAGAAAGGAAGATGCTTTCAAACTACACATTGATGAATGGTTAGGGTGCTGTGCTGGGTGGTTATTTTATCAGCCACTGACTTCTGTGCCTGTTCTGCCTACTTTGCATGGCTAACAGAGGCGCCCTGTTTCTTAAATAGGGGTAGTTTAAATAGGAGTTTATTTTATTTGAAATCATGTCTGTAAACCGAACTGATGAGGGAAGATGGTGTTCAGTTCATCAGTGACTGTGTATAAAATAATTTTGAGTAGAACTTATAGGAATAAAAGCTTTATATAGTTCACTTTTCCATAAAGCTTTATAAAAAGTAGACTCTTCCTGCAGAGAGGGATCACTATGCCAAATCTGGAGTCTGTTCAATAGCAGGAGTGTGACATGTAGGGATTACAGCCCTTTTAAATTTAAACACACCTTTAGCATGCAAGCAAACCTCTGACAAACAGATGATAGCCTCTAATACTTGCTCACCATCACAACAGCATCTCATAAACTGGATTTATTGTGCTTCCTTCACCAAACCGCACTCTCAGTTTATTCATTAGCTCACTCCCACCATTCCGAGTGCTTGAATAGCTATACCAATGAAAAGCCCCATGATCACCTCTAATCTAAACAAAACTGAATCAGTTTTCATTCCCTTGCCATCGTGTGTGGATGTTTCTCACAAGATTCCTTTTCCCCAGCTTTTATTAAATCTTCAGAAAGAATCGGGTTGAAGCTATTACCTAGACCTGCAGATCTAAAATGAAAAGCATTAATGCTTTGTATTGCTCCCCTCCTTACCTTCCAGAAAGGAATAAAACACCTGCATCTTGTCACAAAAAGAAATGATGGTTGGTTTTTTTTTAATAACTGTGATGACAATTTCAGCTGATTTTAAACAGCAGCTACCTTTGAGACATACACTTTCACTTGCTATCAGGCATTGTGTGGGTGAAGTCATGACATTTAAGACCATTTCCCTTTTAACAAAACACCACAAAATAATTCATGAATAATGAATGAATTCAAGCCAGTAAAATCTTTATGCCATGCCAGTCTCTTATTTGCAGGCAATAAAATTAGAGCATAATGTGCAATAAACTATAACCAGAGAAGTCCCACTGTCACGCAGACATAATCACTGACATAATGTGGGAGAGCACTGAGCACAGGGTGTGTGCAGTTCCAGAAGATTCACAAGAACCTCTGCAGCAGAAGGGTCTGATGGCACAGTGCATTCCTGGCAGCCAGCAACGGGCAGTTACACCACACAGCATATGGGACAAAACAGAAATTGGCTATCTGCAAGCAGAGAGTCTCACAAACTGGGGGATGCAGTGATAATGTAATTATCATCCCTACTTTCTCTTTTTCAGCCAATCTGGTGTTTTAGGGAATTCAGACTGAAATCTAAACTGAACTGTGAAACACTTATGGTGCAATACAGCCACAAAACAATGAATGATAGTTTCTGCATTTTGGCTTTTAAATAAATGGAGTGCAGGAGATAGGATTTTGTGCCAGCCACCCTGCAGTTACATTTACTTTGTCTAGTAGTTGCCACAAGTCAGACACCTTTCCCTAAATGTATTTGGCATGCAACTTTATTTGTAATCTAGTATAAGTACTGTTCAAATTCATCATGAAAATATCACTGTTCTTGTAAAAGGGCATGTCATGACATGCCAAGTTCAGCTTCCTCTGACTGTGCATCAAGACTGGTCTACTGCCTCAGGGCTGGCCTTAATTAGCATTCAGGGAAAATTTATCCCTTTGTGTGGAGCTTTCAAATCAGATTAGAAAAGTCATCCAGTGGCAAGACATGACCAAGCACATCCCAGCTGGTAATTGGTTAAACTCTCTCAAGCACTGGTGAGATACAGGGCTCTGCACCCACGTCAGTTCTTAGCTATCTCTTCCTGTAGACTTTAGGCAGATAATTTGAAACTAATAGTAAATTCTTTTGAAATTTTCTACAGAAAATTCTGCAGCCATAAGTGCCATTAGTACCTTGACAGATTCTGGAATGTGAGGAAATGATCATTTATCTTACTTGTGACCTTCACTTCATTATCTTGGAGAAATTACTAAAATGTCCTTCCTATGAAGGAACCGTGACTGAATGCTGCTATTGCAACACTACAAATGTGTTCCATTCCCCTCCAGGCATAAGCAAAACTAAATAACCCCGCTTGTTCCATAGCCGCAGCTGTAGATAGTTTAGCAGCAATCTTATCTAACAGCAAGCAAGGAGAAGTTAAGTACATTATCAAACCATGCTAGAGATGGAGTCAAGAGGTTAAACGTTACACTGTCTTTCACCTTTTACAGGACCTTTGTGGGAGAAACAAAACCAATTTTGCCATATTGCTTACTCTTAACAGGGTTTGTCTGAGTAGAGCAACAGAAGTGAGAACAGGACTGATGTATGTAGTTTAATTCCCAGACTTTGGAAGAAATCAAACTATTTGAATGCAAAAGTATCCTGATAAAAGCTGGAAGCACATACAAACTTGTATGGAACAGCCTGTTACAACAGGCTGTGGATTTTAAAGCCTGGAGAAAAAACAAGACCAAAACATCTAAACCCAGGACTTTGCATTTCACAGTAATTTCTTCTCCAAACCCAAGAACTGGGACTTGGTATTCAGTATACTAAATTTTTAAATGAAGACCAACTGTAGGACACTTGCAACATTATAAATTTTCCTCTCTTATAAATGTTATATCCTAATAAAAAGTTTATGGTTTGCTTGTCCATTACAGGCAAGACCACCAAGCATTTGAAGATTTTACTGTGGTTCTATTACATGCTTTGCAAAAGCAGGCACTTAACATACAATCACATCCTGATCTGCCATCCCTTGCTGCAAACTTCTTCTACCTAGAACTACAATTATTACAAATGCAGGAGGAATGATTTACCTTAGTTCTACTGCTGCTGTGTGAGCCATTATGTGAGAACTGCTTCCGGACTTACTTGTTTCAGCTCTGTGGTGACCAGCTTTGGCAATGGCACGACACTCTGGGGCTTCCCACCGGCCTAACAATAGGTCAAATTACACGCTGTTAAGAAACAGTTGAAATGTGCCTTACTACAACTGACTAAAATTGTAGCATGGGGCAATTTTTTATTTTTAAACTGATGGATTCAGTCTTTCACCAGCAAATAAAGCACTTTAGAAGAATTA